AGTCTATGGTACCTCTGACAGTGGAAACAGTATTTATCCCTAGTGCACAAATGGAAGTTGGGACCCCATTCCCTATGGAGGGATGCTCTCTCAGCCTAGATACATGGGGTAGCACCTAGGCCCTGCCCCAAACGATGTGATAGACTTTGATGATCCCCAAGGGGGGCCTCACCCTCCCTGGGGATGGTGGGATGGGGGGGTTGTTGGGGAACATCGACAGATGGGAGAGGGAACTGAGGTTGATATGTAAAATAAGATTGTTTTTAACTTAAATTAAAAATAGTAAAAAAGATTGTAGTAAATTCACAAAAAATGAAGATTGCTGCTCTTAAGAACCCTGAGACATCACAAGGGCATAGTTTCTAAAAATATCAGCCACAAAGATCTAAAGTTCCAATGAAGCATGTCTAGCAGCTTCAAAAAACAAACAAACAAACAAACCTGTAGTCATATATGTAATTCATTACTGTTTCATTTGCCATCCAGGGTTTGTCTCCAAATGATGAGTGTGATGGCTCACAACTATCATCCCAGCAATAGGGAACATGAAGCAGGACTGTTGTAGGTTCCAGGCCAGTGTGGGACAGTGAGTTCAGAACCAAATGTGAGACTCTGAATAAAATAAGTAAGAAAAGAGAGACTTGGGAAGGAAGGAAAGGGAGAGAAAGAGGAAAAAGAAATCATCAGGGGGCTGAGAGATGGCTTAACAGTTCAAGACACTGCTGCTCTTCCAGAGGACACAGGTTCAATTCCAAGCACCCACATGGCAGCTCACACTGTCTGTAACTCCAGTTCCCCAGGATGTGAAACCTTCACACCAATGCATATAAAATTAAGTTAAAATAAATTATTTAAGAAAGAAATTGTCAAAATTCTGTTTGGGTCAGAAATACATAATTAACATTTATACTGACTGACTGACTGACTGAAAGAATGGGTAGTCATCTCGTGGATTCAAGTATTTTTGACTACTGTTCTGGAATGGAGTCAGTTGTTTGAAATCACATTTAGACACTTTATTTTAGTTAAATATTATTAAAAGATACTGACTGCCTTTGGTATATGGCCAGCCTTTTCTGCAGTTTAAAATTTTATATATCAGGTATTAAGACTAATACCTTCAGTTCCTCCAAGACACAGGAAAAAAGCTTTCTATGATGGTTATGCTGTTCCATTTCTGGAAATGTCTATAAAAGATCTGCTACTGCATGTTAACATTTGCAGTGACTAAGAGAGGCTTTGTCCCCCTGGTAGCAATGACATTTGGAGCTGGGTCATTGTTGTGGGGCTAACATGTATGCTGTAGGAAGTTAAGCAGCACCTCTGATCCTCTGTGCACTGGATGCTTATAGCAAGCATCATGGGCTCCCAGTTGTGACAAGTCAGATATTCCAGATACTGCTAAGGGTACCCTGACAAGTAAAATTGTCCAGGCTGAGAGTAACTTAATAGTAACTTTGTTCAAAGCTATAGAAAGAGCATATGTTCTACATTTTTCTCTAGCTTACTAGTGAGGACTCTGGAAGTGACGGACACTAACTTGAAAGGATCCAGTTCACAAATCCTCATCATTTTAAGTCCATTTTCTCCTTGGGACAACATTATCATGGGATATTCAAATTTATAAACTCTAAGCAACATTTTTGCACATAACTTGTATACTGACTTAATAGTGAATTATACTACTGTGTAAAAGCAATCTAAAAGCTGGGTAAAGAACTCTGTAGGAGTCCGTACTACAGGGTGCACCACTAACTGAATGGTTTTTAGCTACTTCATGGTAACACTTAAGTCATTTAAAAATTGAAATAAAATATATTAATCCCTCTTGTTACATTTACCCTGGAAATTCCCCCATTGTTTCTGGAGTTTGCTTCCTAGAATGGAAGAAACAAGCTAATAATTCACCTGCTGGGTGTATTTCATATGTTATTTGCTTTGGAATTACTGTAAACTCTCCTTACTTCTACTCCAATACTCCATATATCCAATTAGTCAACTTTTTAACTTCAATCATCAGTATTTAAATGATATGCTCATAGTGTACCTTAATATCCTTATTGGCCATTTCATGTTACTGTTCTATCTCATCAACTATGTGGGCATGTTTTAGTTATTTTTAAAGTAACTTTTATTTTAATTATACATACGTACATATATGTGATTGTTTTGCCTACATGCATATCTGTACATTTCTTTATACCTGGTTTCCAGAGAGGTCAGAAGAGGGTGTCAGACCCCTGGGAACTGAAGTTACAGCTATGAACTGTCATGTGGGTGCTGGGAACTAAAATTAAGTCTTCTGCAATAGCAGCCAGTGTTCTTAACCAATCACCCATCCCTCCAGCCATTTATGTGTTTTAAACATTGCCCTTTACCCCTTTTTCATTTAGTCTTTTTTTAAAAATATGAAACAGGCATAAAAATGTATGGCTATCACAAATTTAACAGGAAACTAAAATTGTTTTTAAAACTTTAGATAATATGGTATCCAAATTTTATCGCTAAAAATTAGAATCTCTATTTTACCCTCACATCTTGCAGTTAGCATACAGGACAGCAAGTCACTTTAAAAAAAATTAACAAACAAGTACAAATTCTGGTTATTAATTTTTCACACATAATTTTGTATTATTAACATGGCAGAGTCATTCTGAAAACAAAGACAAAGGAATATAAAAGATAATGCATTGGCATGACAGATGAAAAAGATATTAGGTCAGAAGAAACATGTATACAAAAAAGCCTACAATTTGAGAAATGTGGAAATCAAAGTCAAGCTAGTTAATTACTAACAAAGATGGCAGCCGTGTTTCTTTTTTGTCTTTCACAGTGAATGCACGATTAGCACTTAGTACTAAGGCTGGGGAATAAACCATCTATAATCTACTGAAAAAGACCATCTGCTTCTATAAATTTTGTTCTCAATATACTTGCCAAAAAAGAGAACGTATTAACAAAATAATGGGCCCTGCTCTGTTAATTGTAGGTTGTTTGCAGTTTTGCTGTTGCTATTAGAATTTAATAAGCCATTCCTTCTGCTAAATTAATAAGCAGCCAAGATTATGTAATAGCTGCTTTCAGCTGCTAATTATTTTCCCATAATTCCTTCTCTACCTCCAGCCCTCCCCACTTTTTTTCTTTTTTGGCTAGGAACACAGAGATGAGACTGCCAATATGTCATTAGCAAGTCTCCCATCATTTCCAGAAGTACCAACTAACATTAGTAACACAACCAATGAGGTTAAACTTGGGAGGTGGCTATCTCAGGAACATTGAGGACATACTTGTTTTGTACACACACAGAAAAGAGCAGTGTCTGGAATTAAGAGGCAGGTTTTCATTGTGCAGTATGAGTGCTATCTTTAAACTGGCTAATGACATTTGTTTCCCGTATTAAAGGAGAAAAGGGGACATGTTTGGACAGGAAACAGAGTAATTTGGGCAGGGGCCTGAAGACCTACCAAAAGCCAATTCTGTTTTCTGTTGACCAATATACCAGTATATATCAACCACACACACATTAGTATGAAATTTTCCTACTAGCATAGTGTTGCTGAAAGGGGAAGATATTCTAGTTTATTTTGCTAAACAAAGGCATCATAAAAAAATGACCTCAAATTCCTACATTGCCACTCTAAGACATAAAAATGAACATTACTCTCTAATAAGGGATTTCTTTAAGTTGAGTGAATACAGCTTCATTTAAAATGTACCATCTTTTTTCTTACATTGTTTAATTTAAAAGTCGTGTTTAGTAACCTCTACAAAGGAAGGCATGGTCCAACAAATGCTCTTTTGGCTTTCTTTGTAGGAACAGAGGTGACTGGAGTAATGAATAGCATCTGACATGGGATATCCATGGCTATCCAAGCAAGGTCACCTAATCCTATGGGTCTCCACTCCCCCATCTATAAAAGATGAGTTGAACTACACGATTCATCCATTTTATCATTCAAATAAAACATGGACATCCATTATATGCCCAGAACTAAAGCCAACGTTTCAGCTTTTCACAAGTCTATCATTTTATAATTTGATTAGGCAACTCACATTTATCAGTAGACTTAAAAGACCAGGCAGGGAACTAGGTTGTTAAAATGAATAAAATCCAAGATGCGCTAAACAGAAACATGAGGGGTAAAAGAGGGATTCGTTGTTCCAGGGCTTTAGGGTGAGGCTTCATAGATGTGACATTAGAGGAAGGACATGCCAAGAAGAGCGAGTCGGCAGCAAGGCAAAACTGGAACCCAGGCGCGGGGAGGTGGGGGGGGGGCATGAGAAGGAAGCGGGATCTGGAGGACTCAGCGCTGTCTGGGCTTTCGCAGCGGACAGCGGACCGCAACTCATCCAGTCCGCTGCACTGCTGGGTGAAGCGAATCCCGCAGAGCAGCACTTGCAAAGCTTGGAGCGAGAAGTGTCTGGGCTAGCTAGGACTGTAGCAGTGCGTTGGAAAGGAGGGGCCTCCCTGCAAAAGCGGGCAAGAGCACTACGAAAACGCTGACTTGTTTTCCCCAGAGTTGCAGCACTCCTGTCCTTCCTCTTATCATCACGTCGACTGTCACACCTCCCCGTCCAACCCTCTGGGGACCCAGAGAGTCATTGGAGCTCGAAGTCAGCTCTTTGAGGTGAGGACCATCCTTAGTCTGCACCACGGGGTCAGCTAAGGGCGCCGCGGAACCCCATCCTCCTGCCACTGAAGGAGCCTGGACAGCCCCGCGGGCCGCATCCCGGCAGCACGGGTAGAAATACGCAGGCGCGCCCACCACAACCGAAGCCGCTTCCGGGTCACGTGGCCAGACTTCCGGCCCTCGCCACGCCTCCCTGTGCGCATTTGACCAATCGGCTTTCTCGCTCTCGCCGGCAACTATGCTGATACTAGAGGCGGTTGGCGCCCCCTCGGCAGTTTGGCGCGCGTCCTCTGGTCCGCCTCTCCGCTCGCCGCAGCCCGGGCTCCTCCTCCGTCCAGCCTCCGGGGCGGGGTCTGTTGGCTCGCCCTACCCTCGTCGCCTAAGCCTGCCCTCCGCCAGACGGGTCCCCTCCCGGCGGCACCACGGCTTCCCTTCAACCGCACGGCGACGGGGGCTTCCCCTCAGCAGCAGCCGCTGCCTCGGTCTCCGCAGCCGGCCAGCCTCCGCCGCGTCCGCGGCCCGCGGCCGCCGTAAGTGTCAAGGGGATCCGCTGAGGTGGCAGGGATGGGAAGAGGGAGCGATGGCCGGGCGCGCCCCCCGCCGCCCCGTGAGCGCCCCGACGACCCCACCCCGAGTCCTCCCGGGGCGCCGCGCCCCAAAACTCACTTCTGGCGGCGGTGGCGACCCGCTCTTCACTCTGCAGCGCGCCACGGATGCTGGAACCGGTCCTGGGTTCCGCGGGGACCCCGAGGCACCTGTGGTTCTCCGATCGCCTTAAGTTTGGCGGGGCGTTTTTGGGGAGGGGCCGGGGGTGGCGGCGACCGAGGACTTGGCGCCCCTGGCGGGCCAGCGGATGCCATTGTCTTTGCTCCGCTCCTTGCGGGTCACCTCTCTTGGCTTTGGGCAGTGATGGAGTGTGGTCCCGGGAGGAGGGGAGGCGTCCAAGACTGCGGGACCCTAGGGATGCTGGACCGGAGCCCATTCCAAGGCTGAGCCCATTGTTGTTTTTTGTTTTGTTTTTGTTTTAATACCAATCTAGAGAAATTTTTGTCCCGGGATTTGCGGCAAAATCAAAGCGAGGGAAAAGGAATACTTCTGCCACCGTTTTCGTCCCATGTTAGCACATCATTTGTTTTAAGGAAAATGCGTGGTTTCCCGGTCCTCCAAAGTGGTAGGGCGGATACTGGACCCTGCTACAGATAGCCTAGAGCGCATTCAGATAGCCTAGAGCGCACTCCTGTCGTTAGCAAACCTTCTCTCCTGGTCACCGAGATTTAAGAAAACCCAATCGTTTCCTTCCCCAAGTTCTACTAACGGTTTGCGTTGAATGTCCAGTTGATGCTCTACTTGTCGTCCTCTTCGAATGTCGCTGTCTTCAGAACTTACATGGGCGGCACTTAGTTATCAATGAATTATATAGTGTGTGTTTGCCATATAGTATATGTGTTTGCCAATTTTAACTTTATTAAAGTTAAATGGCGTAACTGCGCCATAAATTTCCGGATGTTTTCTTGATGCCTTTTGGGGATATTGCGAAGTGAATTTCCTGTCGAAATTTAGAGCCAGTTTGATTTTATATTGGTTACGTAAATTCCTCCTCCCGGTGTTCAAATTTAAGGTGGTGTGTTGAATATTAAGAATTTGCCCTGGGGTCTTAACTTGCACTGGCGCTGTTAAAGGAACTTAGAAGGGTTAAAAGAGAACATCCATCCAGATTTTACGTTCAAATTAGCTTTACAATAGAGCTCGTTTTTACCACTTGAATTTTAAAGTACCTGCCTTATAAAATGCAGCCTGACCAACAGACATGCAAATGCTAAGTAAAACCATACAAATTAGCTTCAGTATAAAACACACTAGAACCCATCATATATTCAAATGTATTTTTATTTTAAAGTAAGTATTCTGTGAAATGTCTCAAATTTTGTTTTTAAATTAAGTATTCTGTGCAGTGTCTTAATATAAATAACTTTTGGTTAAGCCTTTCAGACTTATATTCTCTTTGACATATTACATTAATTCAGTTCTCGAGTGCTTATTTGTGTTAGATTTTACAAAAGGGAAATGCAAAGAAAAATGTGTTGTTTGTGAGATCTTTTTGATTAATATTCTGTTTTGCTTAAATATCCTAGCATAAATTGAAGGTGGTGCTTTAAGTGATAAGCAGTCTGACTGCAAGAAATTCAGCTTAGAACTAGAATGTCCTCAGGGTGAAAGCTAGTAGGTCTCTGCTTTCCTGGAAATGTACATAAATCAACTAACTACCTGATGTCTACAGTTGCCTTTTGATGCATATAGAGTGTAGAATGTGTAGCACAAGGAGAAAATTGTTTCTTAAACAATCAGAGTTCTTCAAAATATTCACTCCAGCTTCCCACCTGTTCTTATTGCCAAAATTACCTACATATAGTAAGAAGACCTTTCCAAAAGATTTTCCTGCTATTATAACTTCCATAAAAATGGCTGACTAATCATTTGGCAGGGTGTTTACTGTATTCCCTAAGTAGCTCTGAAAATCATGTGATCTTAACTGTTGATCCTAGGTAATTGTATGTGTCTTGATTTTATTTATCTTAACAGATGCAGTTTATGTTGCTTTTTAGTCGTCAGGGAAAGCTGCGGCTGCAAAAATGGTATGTCCCGCTCTCAGACAAAGAGAAGAAAAAGATCACAAGAGAACTTGTTCAAACCGTTTTAGCACGGAAACCTAAGATGTGCAGCTTCCTTGAGTGGAGAGATCTGAAGATTGTTTATAAAAGGTACCATTTTTGTATTTATCAGAAATGTGAAATATGGTCAAACATTGCAGACTTTTATGTCAGTAAACAAGGATTAACAAATATTTCAATGAAATAAGTTTAATGGAAAACTTTCCATTCAAAAATAGTGGCTGTTTTGATTATTTGCCTTAAGCTAAAATACTAGCAGCAGGGAAATCATTTTAAAATTAATTATATAATTACAGCGAAACAGTTATTTGTGCTTGGTCATCATTTTAGAAAAACCTCAATGAATTCATTTCATTATAGGATTTACTAGGGTCAGTATCTTAAATTTTTAAGTAATTCAATAAATTCAGGCATGCATAGATAATAGTGTGATAATCCTTTCTCCTGACAAATCTATAAAGATTTATCAAATAGCTGATATTTGGCATTACTTTTATCTGACTTCTATAAGTCTTACTCATAAAGACCCTGAGCACGTGGACCATTTCACTATATAGACGTTTAAATACTTATGTCTATAAGTATTATTAATTTCAAGTAGACTTGTTGCTGTTGAGGAGTTGTGCTTAGATAAGATAATTTTACCAAGGATAGATATTTTTTTAAAGTGATATTGCAAAATAACTTGTAGATTAGCTTTTTACAGTTATTTTTGTCTTTAATGCTACACATCTTTATTTTATAGAATGTTTTTGTAGGGAACATTTCTTGTTTCTTCCTCATTTCTGGTCCCTTTTAAATAATTTACTGAATTTCTGCATATAAAACACTCTTGTATGGGAAGTGTACAGAGAACTAACAGTATGGAATGCAATGAAGGAGGCGAAAAATCTTGTTTTCTCATATTTTCTGTCACTACATTCCAAATATGGATGTATTCTGTGGTGGAGGAAGTGGCAGGGGAAGAAATGAGATTTATAGGACATAAAGACTCTCTTAGATACTTTAGTCTTATCTTTATTTCATAATGAATTTTGTCAGTTTGTGTGATTTTTTTTTAATTCAGTGTTTGGTTTGGTTTTTGAGAAAGATCATAGAAAAAATGAGCATTTTAAAGCTGGGAAATGCCTTAGAACAATCTACACACACACACACACACACACACACACACACACACACACACACACACTATGTATCTTTTTGCCCGGGGATAGAATCTTGACTAAAACAAGTAGAAATTCAATTGCTTTTGTGGAATCAGAAATAAGAAGCTGTACCATGGCTCAATTGGCCTCTGCTCTCTGCACTAGAGAGAGGTCTTCAATTTGAAAAACACAGTTACTGTTCAAAAATCAGTTTATAAAAGATGAGAATTTGTGAATAGTGACTTGGCCTAAGGTCATATACTAGTGATGGGCATGGGGCTACACTTGCCTTAAGTCTGGAGGCAATGGCTTTAAACAGGTGGGGAAAAAATAAAGATTAGATTTGCATTTCTGAAAAGATTGCTGTGAAACCTTGGCTGGGGGAGTGAAAGCCGCTCAGACTGGCACCTGCAGGATCAGTGGGGGACTGCATAATAATTGGATCCTGAGCTGAGAGAATGAAAAGAGAATACTTGGTCACCCCGAGAAGCAGAGAGAACAGCCAAGGAAAGGGGGAGTACAGTGGAGTCACCTCCATTTCTAGAGTTTGGCTTATGGGATGAAAGGTAAGCTAGAGAATTCAGTTAATTTGGGGACAAGCTGATTTGGCCATATTCACTTGCCTCACTGATGGGATGTGGTGGGCATAGGCATGGCACTTGAAGGTGACAATTAGACTTAAAGTATTTGATCACCAGCATTCAGGTGCAGATGGAAGGGCTAAAGAGGGGGCCTGCAAATCAAAATGAGAAAGAAGCAAAGGAATGGTGTTAGGTAAGTAAAGTCCCTGAGGAGAGAAAGTTGAGAATAAGAAGACTAATGCCAGCTGATCATGAAAAGTTCAGTAAAAGTGAACAGCTCTTAGAATCTTAGAGTGAGCATTCCATGCATTGCCTGTTACCAGAACATTGTCAGTGCAATAGAGACAGAATTTTTGATATAATGACGTGAAGGTAGAGAGATAGAGAAGTTGAAACCACATGTATAGAGTATTTGGGAGAGCTTTGCCAAGGACAGAAGAGGTTGTAACTGCTGCTAGATTTGGATTCTGGAATCCTGGATAAGGTTTATAAAAGATGTGAGAATTTTAAGCTTATTTCTAGATAGTGAAAGGATTCCCCCTTGTGGAGGAGGAAAATCCTAGCAAGAGAACAAGCCCATGAATGGGCCATTCAGAGGAAGAAAAGGAAACAGCAGGTTGGAGCTCATAGACTTGCCGCTCAGCCTATTCCTAGTGCTCTCCCTACCTTTTTCAGAAATGATAAAAGAGAACTCCAACCTGATCTGATATTTAGATCAGACTTTTTTTCTCAAATGAAATTTGGACTTAACAAAAAGAAAAATAGCTTTATTGAAATGTTTCATATACATATATATGTATAATATACATGTATAATGTTTTTCTATAGGCTCTCTCATTTCATACCGAAAACCTCATCTACTTCCCACTTAACCTTGTATTTTGTTATTATCAGGTGATGTGTTTTTCCTCCTCCAGCTGGAAGATAAGACCTTTTTAGCCAGAGAATGTCTATTGAGCTCCTAATAAATTATGCTGTAGGACATTCACTGTTCTTAGCGTGTGTTTTTTATGCCGTCTTTGTTCATTTGTCCTGTTCATGTTCTTCACTGAGCATTTGGTATACGTATTTTCCCTTTGTGGGAGGAAGCGGTGAGGGAATAAGGGTAGAGTCATTGAAAAGACAGGCTGAAAATGTGGGACTTATGGTATGTTCCCATGTGCCATCACCTAGTTTTGTAACTTTGAATTTATTTTTTTTTTTGCCTTTGTTTCCTTCCTCATCTTTAAAATAAATGCTCCTGAATATCCACTAGAAACAGAACATTATGTGCCTAGTTTGTGAAACATTTCATAGTAAAGGCAATTGAATTTATGTCTTTTAGAATTGATTTTAAAATGCATCCCATTTTAATAACTTGAGAATTTGTTGAAGGGTACTTATTGATTTTCTTTACTAACAAAAGAAATTTTAACGACATACCAGTGGGTATTGAGAATAGTTTAGCTACATTCACTCACAGTCAGCTGATATTTAGCTGACTGTAGAGAAGTCATGTGTCTTGAATATAAGAATAGGCACTTTCAGATGTTGAGTGCCAGTAATTAGAGTAAGCCCTAATCCATGCTGCTAAAAATAACTAAACATACCTCTCCTCTTACTAGTCTATTATTAATTTTACTAAGAGAACAACATGAGCTCATATTGAATTTTAAAGCACCATTTGTTCCTAAAAATAGGGAGTACTCTTCAGGTTCTCTTGGTAATCTTTACTAAATCTGTATTGCCTTTTTTTTTATCTCTTTCCCTTTTCAAAGCTCTTAATATATTGCATTCAGCATATTTTAATTTTAGCCAGGTGCAGGATTATTTTAATACACTTCACAGCTGTGGTTTTTAATCGAAAATTTGGGCTCCAGGGTCAAATTTCTGTTCTCATCTGGTTACTTTAGCCTGGATCTCCTATAAATGCAAGTAATAATGATATCTTGGTAGGGATGTTGTGAGATTAAGATGCTAAAATATGCAAAAGCCTTCACTAACATTTAGTGCCTCACTTATAGTGAGTCTTTCCATGGTACCTGCTATTGTACTTCTGTATATTCTTCCTCAACATTCTGAAGAGGTGTTCTTATCATGCTAATAGCTGTCTCTTCACCAGGAAGGATTAGTTCTTTATGTTGATGCCTTCCCTCATTCTTAGTGAAGTAAACAGAGGATTGAAGTTGCCACTGAATGGTTGGTATAGGAGACCCTGGATTTATCTCTAGAATGACAAAAAAAAAAAAAAAAACTAAAATGAAATACTATTGGAGTTCGTTTTGTTTTTCTTTTAAAAGTATTTTTGGTTAGTACCTAGATCAGTCCTGTATTTTTTAAATTCTTGATTGGTATAATTTAGGGCCTCCTACTATTTAGTTGCTTAAATATTGTTTACTTGTAAACAAAGAGGCAATATTGTGGATAAAGAGGCAAGGAGATACATACTGGATACCTAACCGTAGCATGGGAGAAGTTTGAAAATAAAGAATCTTACCCCAAACTTGATATTAGTAATCTCTGCAGTAGAATTATTTGTTATTGTGTTCATAGAAACAACTTGTATCTGTCTTTTGGTCTGTCATTTTTATATCAGTTCCTTTAATCTTTAGTTTTTGTAATTCAGAGAATATCCTGTATCAGTGTTTCTCAACCTGTGGGCCACAACCCCTTTGACAACCCCCTGTCTCCAAAAATATTTACATTACAATTCATAACAGCAACAAAATTACAGTTATGAGGTAACAATGAAAATAATTTCATGGTTGGAGATCACCACAAAATGAGGAACTGTATTAAAGGGTCACAGCATTAGGAAGGTTGAGAATCCTTGTCCTTTATCATTTGTGTCAGATTCTCCAGAAGCTATTGAAGAGCATGGATTAGGGAGGGTGGAGAGAGAGTTAAAACAGTCTTGCTTTTTAAATAGATAAACAAAACAAGGTTATGATGGGAACAAGAGGAAGTTCTTTGCTCAATTTAGAGATGGTGCTTTGTTTTGTGTTTCCTGTTTCTCTTACTGGGGATGAGGGAACATATTGAAATGTCTACTCTGAGAGAACACAGGCTTGCAGAGTTGAGGCTTCTGTGAATATTTTATCCTTCAATAACATGTCCTAAAACATTGACAGTATCTTCAATAAGCTCTTCAGTTGGGATATATTGACAGCTTGTTTTCTCCCCCATTTGCTTGTAGTTTGAATTAATCACACTGTATATTTTGTTCTAATTAAGTAAACTTAAGAAAAACTGTTTCAATTCTATTTTCAAATGTTCAGAAAGAAACCTAAAAAGAAGAGCAAGATCAATTACTCTTTCTAAGAGACATGAATGAGTTATTTCTTTTTCTCTTTTCTTCTTGCCTGTGTTTCCCAAAACTTCTCATGTACATTTATTGCTTTTGTAATCTACAAAAAAGAACTTGTTTTAAAAAGAAGGATAAATATAATTATAGTAAGCATGAGGACTTGTATAACAGGACATTGAAAATATATTTAGAAAATATGATTATAAGGGTAATATTTTTCTGTGATTCTGTTTCATGACAGATATGCCAGTCTGTATTTTTGCTGTGCTATTGAGGATCAAGACAATGAACTGATTACCCTGGAAATAATCCATCGCTACGTGGAATTACTTGACAAGTATTTTGGCAGTGTGAGTAGTAGATTTAGTCTTTATCTTGTCTCTAATAAGCTTATTTGGGGATTCTAACTGTGAGGAGAGAACAGGAGTGACTATATGTTTGTTTAGTTTTTCAAGACAGGGTTTCACTGTGTGGCCTTGGCTGTCCTGGAACTCACTTTGTATAACAGACTGGCCTTGAACTCATAGGGATGTGCCTGCCTCTGCCACCTGAATGCTGGGATTAAAGGCATGTGCGTCTACCGCCCTGCACTGACTCATATTTCTTGTCCTGTATCTAGTCAACTTTCAGAATCTCTGGCCCCACAGATGTACTCATTTAATTATAATGGCGAGAATAAGTTTGAAAATAGTAAAATAGAGGGGCAGGATAGATAGTGCAGTTGGTGAGGTGTTTACCACCCAAGCATGAGAATCTGAATTAAATCCCACTGTGCACCTAAAAAGCCCATGCTGACTCTTGCTGGTGATGCTTTGTAAATTTTATGTGTATGGATGTTTTGCCTACATGCACGTCTATGTATCACTTGCACACTTGGTGTCCACAGAGGCCAAAAGAAGGTGTCAAACCCCCTGAAAGTAGAGATACAAGTGCTTATGAGTTATAGTGTAGGTGCTGGGAATTGGATCTTGGTCCTCTGGAAGAGCAGACAGTGCTTTTAATTGCTGAGCCATTTCTGCAGACCCTAGCTTTCACTTTTAATTCCTTGGAGATTGTAGACAGGTGGATCTCTGGAGCTCACAGACCAGCCAGCCTAGAGCCCAGGTCCCAGTGAGCGCACACACACACACATATATACACACACTAGTGAAATAGAAGAGTCCTATTGCTGTACATTAGCATTCTGGAAGTGTGAAGTATAGCTTTCAGAATTGTTAGCAGCTTACTTGCATTCCTCAAGAAATATGTTTTTACAGATTAGTTTTTATGAATTGAAAATTATTAAGCTGACTACACAGAGTGTGTGCAGAGCCAGGTCTTACTTGTAGGCACTATGTCGTCAAGTACTTGAGATTTGAAAAATTAAGCTTACACAAATCAATGGTGCTCAATCAGCAAGGTTTCCATTTTGTAAAGAATTAAAATCAATTCAATCTGATCAGATTTTATTCACTATTAATAAGCATCTTTAGCTTAAGTTTTAACAGGCTTTGTTTTGTTTCATTTTGATTTTGCTTTTCAGGTGTGTGAACTTGATATCATCTTTAATTTTGAGAAGGCCTATTTTATTTTGGATGAATTTCTTTTGGGAGGAGAAGTTCAGGAAACGTCCAAGAAAAATGTCCTTAAAGCAATTGAACAGGCTGATCTCCTGCAGGAGGTAAGCTACTTAGGCTCCTGAAAAGAAAATAGCATGTTTTGCTTTTGCTAGGGAAATGTCAGTCATCATCCCTACAAGTTTCAAAAATTATTTTAAAGCATGCTTGGTATGTAGTTTTCATGTATAGTTTGACTGGAATATGTGTCATTCACATCAACTCAACAGTTATCTATGGAAGAATGGTTTTCTGTGGGGAGGGCCTGCCAGTGAAGCTGATTTAGAGGAGAGACTACTTCAATTAAAATAAGTTAATGAATAAATTGATAAATAAATGTATATATTAAAAGGGAGAACAATTGGCCAAAAATATCAGTCATTTGACAACTTCTCAACCTTTGTTTGGAAATACTTAAAATCCCCCACCTTTTCCATTAGTGTGGATAATTGGGAGTTGAATGTGAGATGATGGCATTTCCTTTCCAAATTGGTTCATGTTTTCACCTCATGTCCATTAAGTGTAAAAGTAGCCAAGCAAATGTTAGTGTTTTCTAATTATGCTTTTTATAGAACCCTCTGGCTTTGTGTTAACAAAATTAACTTGAAATGAATTTGTACTTCTCTTTGCTCTTTTGAAATAACTAACATGTTCTGTCAAAACTATTATATTCCTGTCCTTTAACTTCCATATCCCAGATCCATAGCAACCCCTTTCCCTTCTAATTGCCTTCAACATCCTCAGCTAATCGTGTGTTTGATCTTAGGTAGCAAATTAAATTGTGGGTTAGAAGTAATTGTGGTTATTACAATATAGAAAGTTTAACATGAAAGTGAGTTAGTAAAGGCAAAATAGGGTATTTTCATTAAGGTAACTATGTGTGTGTTTGTGTGTGTGTGTAACATAAATGAATATTTGTGTCTCATGGGTTCATTTACTAAAGTGTTGAAAGTTACTTGTATTCTTAGTTTATTTTAACCCTTTATTCATTACACATTTATTATGTTCTTAATTAGTAAAACAGACTTTAAATTCAGTTTCTTAGTATTTCTGAAATGGCTAGCTTTAAAGAAATGACTAAGGGGAGAAGAATAACTTTAATTCTCTGTTAAAATTTCTTTCCTTTTGGCCTCTGTGCTGGAGGGAACTCCTAGTGAATTCACTCTATCAGTCACCTAAGGCTGGCTTCAAGTGTTGTTGATATCATCCAGAGTGTATAACTATTCAATGTGAGACAGTGAACTGTGTATTTAATGATGTTGTAGTTATCAGCAAAATGGCTGGTGAGTAGAAAACTGAAGTATTTCACTGATGGTCCCTCATGCCATCTACTGTTTGGTAGTCAAATGAGCACAGACCTTTCCCTTGTGTGCAGTTTGCCATGGTGCTTTATTAATTGATTGCAAACACATCATATTGCAAACAGTATATCCTACTGTTATAATATTGGTTTTAAAGTTAGCATCTCCTTTTTTGTTGTTTTCTAATCAAACTTAAGAAAGATAACAACAGTATTTAAAAAAAAATTAATTAGGTCAAGCTACAGCTCAATTTGAAGAATGTTTGCCTAGCTTGCATGAAGCCATAAGTTCAATCCTCAGCTTAGCATAAACCAGATATGTTAGTATGTGCCTGTTGTCTTGGTCCTTGTGAAATGGAAACAGATGAATCAGGAGTTCAAGGTGTGGACTACAAAGTAAATTTTGAAGGAAGCCTGGGCAACCTGAGGCCCTGCCAAACATAAAACTAAACAAAAGATAGGTCCCAGTATTAGGAACTGGAAATTCTTCATATTTGTGTCTTGTCTTAGTAATGTTTAATTATTATAGAACTATAAGCTCTTATATCAGAACTTGGTATTTCTTCTGTTTTTTTACCATTTTCTGATTAGACTTTTATTGTTTTGAAGAATTTTTAAAGCTATTAAAGCTCAGTATTTTGCTTTTAATGTGTTCCTGGAAAATTGCTCTATGCTTTCTAATAAGACAATGTCATGTTTACTTGATAGTATGTATTTACCCTATGAGGGAATACAAAGTATTATTATGGCAGTATGTGCTATTTATTACTTCTTAGGCATGAGAATGTTCACTATTGTCATTATTAGTAATTAGAACATTTGATTGAATATGTAGATTTATTGACAGTATTTTCTCAAAGGTCTCCTTGTTGTGATTTATCAAAATACGTAGGTCTATAATAACTTTCTAGGTATTATTGTTTGAAATATAGTAGTCACTTTGTCAGTATCCTCAAGTGATTTTATTTCTAAAATTGTTTAAGTATAGCTATTTTAGATAAATGTATCCTGAAATTTGCAGTAAAATTACTAAAAACCTGATTTAAATGTAATTTTTCATATATTATAACTTCTATTTTGTGTCAAAGTCTTTATTTGAACTGTTTTAATATAAGATAATTTTGAATTAAGAATAAACTTAATCTGTTGGCTTAGTAATATATACAAATTATAACAATTTTGAATTTAGATATTTTTTATAATTTGTGAAATATATTTCTATTCTTAATTATATTCAGAAAATTTATTAAAATGTTGCTTTTTCCAATTCTATAAATATATAAATTAGGTAGTCTTTCATGTTATGGGCTAGCAGAGAGAGCAGATGTCAGTGATTAAAGTAGATTTTCTTCTGTCATGCCGCAGTTAGTAATAAGAACAAAACAAATGTATATCTGAATAATAACTGCCAAAATATTAGTAAGCATTGTGGCTTAATAGTTTGTTTTTCATATTTTACATTTGTAGCCCAATTCTATGTTTAGACCTTTTGGTTACATGAATTCATAATTACATTTGGGATGGAAAGCTCAGAAATTGGCCCATTATCCAACTTTTAATATTTGACTGTTGTAATTTAAAACATGTCATCTCAACATGCCGCTGGTACTAAAGTTGATTTCTAAATTAAGATATGACATGCTGAGATTAATAGTTATATTCTTTATAATGCTTAGCATACTTAGTTTTTGGGTGGTAAAGTGAGGTATAATGATTCAGTTGAATTTATTTTATAAACACATATATTGATAATGACAAAGCAAATAGTAGTATGGCTTTTTCCCCCTGTGAAGTCAGGCACTTACGAGTTTTTCTCTACTCCTTAATTTTATAGAGCCAGAATGAAGAATGGGGAGGTTTGTCTGAGGATATCTTATGATAAAGAGCAGTCTAAGACTTTAGTTCCTTTGATCCCCAACTTATTTATTGGTAACTACTAAATTTACCATTTTTGTGGCATGGATAAAATGGCACTATGCAAAGACTGTTGCACGTGAGATGATTTCAAGTCCTTGCTTGATCTGGGAAGATCAAATAGTTAAATATTAGGCATTGGGCTTGTTATAACCCTAGAGGTAGATGCATGATGGTATTGATCAATGCTTTGAGATGTCGACCTTTCTTTCTTATACTAACAGCATCATTTTGAAATTCTTGGGAATTTTTTTTTTCTTTTGAGCTTTGTTTGCTGTTGGCATTGTTTCTCACTAAAGTAATCCATGAAATGGAAAAGAAGTGAGGTGCCAAAAGCAAGCACTGTACTCATGAATTTGCTTCTACTGGAAGATCCACTTTATGAATAATTCTACTGGATTTGCAGATATTTGTCTCGTCTAGAAAGCGGTAGTTTATGGAGAATTACTGCTGCTAAAATTGATTTGTTTTAGTGCCGAGGCCTGCATGAAATGTCTTAATAGTATGCTTTGTCTTTGTGAAAGTAATCATTAATCTGTGGGACTGCATAAAAAATGGAAAGGTAAGAATCTTGAGAGAAAAGTGATTTCTTTAAAGAAATGAGGTTTTTATAATGACATTAAGCAAATAAGTATTTCTTGAAGTATCTTACAACATTATGAATATTTAAGTTTTTCAAAAATTAGACATAGCTAATAAGAATATTTAGGCATATTTAGGCAAGCTTCAAGAATATAATCAATTCTTTTAAAGGCATAGATCTTTTAAAATATATACAATGTCATTTAAGAGCAAAACATACTTTGTTATATTTTTCTGATTTGCTTTAAGAAGACAAGACCCCTGTAATTCTTTTGTAATTACCATTCTCCCATATTTTATCTTTTAACCCTAAACTGTTTCTTTAATTGGGTTAAAAATTAAGGCTATATTTATTGATGCTAGAATGTGTTAAATGTAGTTCAGATTCCGCTAGAACAGGTTCTGTAGAAGTGAGGTTTTATTGATGATTAAAATAGTTTAGAAGCGGATAGATACACAGGCAGAATAAATCTCCTTTAGCTTTACTTTCAGTGCCATACAATATGAGTAGTGTCATTGGTGTTTGGTTTGCAGGTTGTAATCATTTTTGTTCTCTGTAGTTTTAGTCATGGTTTCCTTTGTTTGTTCTTTGGGATTTTAAGCCTACCCCAGTCCTTGTTTCCTTTCTAACTCCTGGTGAACCAGCTCCGGCTACTCTTGAGCTCTATTTCTTTTTTGTTTTTGTAATGCCTAGTGATAGAACTCAGGATAGTGCCCGTGCTAGGCAAGCCCTCCATCACAGACCTGTATTCCTAGCTCCACTTGGCTTTTTCTAATCATTAAAAGCTAGAGTAATTTAAATAGCCAATTATTTTAAATTTGATCTTGAAATTATTTTTTTTCACTAGAATCCATAGTAGTATATTATAGTACAAAGTACAAAAATTATTGAATACTCTCATTTCTTCCTTTGTTCTCAAATTTTATATTCTATTTTTCTTTTTTTTAAATGCCAATCTTAATAATAAATTTCATGATCCTAGGTTTAGGACCTGCTAAGAGCACATTCCAAGTGGTCAATGGTGTTTTTTTATTTTTGTTTTGTTTTTTGTTTTTTCATTAAACAGTACTTGATAAAAGTTTTAGGTTTGAGTTATTCCCCTACTGACATTATAATTTGTTTGGTTGTCTCTGTGCTTAAAACATAATTTCCATAGTAGAAATATTAGTAAATACAGACCATCACACTAGAATATAATCTTACCTACCAAGCAGAGCCAATTAGATTAACTCATTCTCCTGGGAATGAGAAGAGGACTTCCAGTCGTG